GCTGAGGCTTCGTGAAGCTTCAGACTTCTCTGGAAGAGCCCTGAGAGCCTCCTCCATCATGTCCATGCCAAGGTGCCAGGAGTGAAGCTCAGCTCCAGGCTGAGCCTCTGGGGCTCATGGGGGAAGGGCAGGACCAGAGTTTTAGAGCCTCATCACCTGGGGAGATCCCTGACCTCTGCATGCCTCAGTGTCCCCACCCATGAAATGAGGTCATCAGTGCAGCCTCCTGCCCCTTTGAGATCTAAAGATGGACTTCTAAACCCAGACATGCTGCACCTTTCCCTCTGTACCCCCTCAGTTCCCAGTGGGATGGGGCAGACATCAGATATTGGGATCAGATCACCAACGACACCCTGTGCCAGCAGCACTGGAGCAGGGGAAGGGTTGCCCAGGTGCCTGTGTTGGCACAGCCCCGGGGCTCTCTCACAGGTCCTGGAGCAGAACTGCAGTGCAGAGAACACACAGACATATTTCCTGGGTTTCTTTAAATCTCCTGGTCTCTTTGCCTGGCCCTGGAGCATGAGAAAGGCTGGGGCTCAGGCAGGGATGGAGCTGCAGGGCCAGATGTGCTGTCTGTGCTCCAGCTGTCCAGCACATCTGTGCCTCAGGGCAGCAGCAAAGTGCCCTGATCACTGCTGAGAGGGTCTGGGAGGGTCTCCCCCCCCAGCTCCTGGAGGTGCTGATCTCCCCCAGCAGAACCCCCAGGCAGCACAGGCAGGTGGGAGCTGGGAGAGGGGATGCTCCCCTCAGCCCTCCAGCACTGGCACAGCTCCTGCAGAAACAAACCCCAGAAACATCAGAGTTCTCCGAACTGGAGCTCTGGGGACATGGGCCATACCCCAGGGCAGGGCAGACCTGGCATGGGAATTGGAAGGGGACATGGGGCAAATCCTGAGCCCCACTCTGGGAGCATTGCTCCAGGCCACCCCAGAGGAGGCATTTGGAGACACCTTTTGCTCCAGCCTCAGGGAAGGATGTGCTGCTCTGGGCACCCCAAAATGCTCAGTGTGTGGAACAAGAGGGTCCTCAGCTGAGAGAGGCTGAGCCCCAGTGCAAGAAGTGCAGGGAGAGAACCATTTCCATAGGAAGCTTGGAGAAATCCTTGGGAATGGCATCTTTGCTGCCTGCTGTGGGCTCACCCCCGGGGCAGAAAGCCCATTAGTGAGGGCACTGTGTCCCACGGGAGGTCTGCACACGCTGTGCCCCCACAGCAGCTCCAGCTCCCTGTGCTCCTCACCCCTCCCCTGGCAGGGCCCTGGCTCAGGGATGGCTGTGATTTATTTGGGAACATTTCTTGCCTGTTGAAAGCGTGACCTCAGCTCTGCAGACACGCTGTGGGGGTGATGTACGAGTGTCTCTGGCAGAAGTGCAGCAGAGGAAGGGGGCGGGAGCTCCATCAATCTGCCCTGGAGGGGACGGCCCGGGGGGACCCTGCCAAGGTCACCCGGGAGCTGACTCAGCCTCCACTCCCCGCTCTGCCATCCATCACCCCCGCTGGGAACGGGCAGGCAGCAGGGCTGGAGGCTCATCCCTGCTCATCCCTCATCGCTGCCCTGCACAGCTTCATCCAGAGGCTGGAAGGGTTCCAGATGTCACCTGGGGCACGGGCAGAGTGACCTTCCAGTGCCCACAACAAGCCCTGACAGGCTCCCTGGGGAGAGACGTGGCCCCAGCCCAGCCCCCTGCCCTGGGACAAGGACAAGATGGATGGGACACAGGGACACAGGTGGCAGGAGGGTTTTTCCCTCTCAGTGACTCCAGCTCATCCAGCACAGCGTTTGGATAACCTGCGGAGTCTCCCCTAAATCTGGTGAGCACCAGGAAGGAGCTGAGCTCTTCTCAGCAGTGTTTAGAGCAGGGAGAATGAATCACAGAGTCACAGAATCATTCAAGTCAGAGAAGACCTCCAAGACCATCGAGTCCAACCATTGCCACTAAACCATATCACCAAGGGTCTGATCATTTTTTGAACACTTCCAGGGACAGGGAGTGCACGCCTGTCCTGGGCAGCCTGTCCCAATGGGTAACCACTCTTTCAGTGAAGAAATGTTCCCCAGGATCCAACCTGACCCTCCCCTGGCACAGCTGGAGGCCGTTCCCTCTCCTCCTGTCCCTTGTTCCCTGGGAGCAGAGCCCGACTCCCCCTGGCTCCCCCCTCCTGTCAGGGGGTTGCAGAGCCAGAAGGTCCCCCCTGAGCCTCCTTTTCTCCAGGCTGAGCCCCCCCAGCTCCCTCACATGACTCACTCTGCAGACCCTTCTCCAGCTCCATTCCCTCCTCTGGACATTCTCCAGCCCCTCAATGTTTTTCATCCTGTGTCTCAGCTCCCAGTATATGGAAAGAGCAGCAGAGATCTCAGCACCAGGGGGACAAGAAGCCCAGTCCCTCATCTGGCTTGGCTCCAAGCTGGTCGCCTTTCACTTCCAAAAGAGGTTTTTCTGCCTGTAGTTAGGAACAATTAACATCAGGGCCCAGAGCTCCTCAGTGCAGGACCCCTGTTCTGGAAGGTCCCGGCCTTGTCTGAGCACGACTCTCACAGGCTTTTGATGAGTGTCTGGAACATGCAGAACAATAAATACACCTGCAGACACATTTGGTGCTTCCTGTCAGGTGCCTCTGCAGTGCTAGGCACAAAAATGCTTCTGTGAATCTGGCCCCAGATTACCTTAATATCTTTGCAGATTGGAAGCTGTGAGAGTAATTGATTCTTCACTTCATTAGTTAAACTGAAAAAGGAATTAAGAATTACTGGGGGTATGACAAACTGCTTGGCCAAACACTCCTTGTGCTGGGAACAGGTAAGCTTATTTACCTCTTCTTTTTATCAAATGTGAATGATTTTGAAAAGAAAACTCAAGGATTTAAAATGGGGGATCAAGACTTCATTACTTTTTAGAATTTCCTGTTGCTAAAATGGTTCAGCTTTTCTGTTACTTTACAGAATTTTGAATAAAGATTCAGTCATGGCAAAATAACTTTTTTTTCCCTTTTTTTTTTTTTTTGGTCAATAAACTAACCAGCCAAAAGAAGCCTCACAACTGCCCACAGCTGGCTGTGGGTAAAGCCAAGAGGCTCCTAATTCCCATAGGACCTTGGGAAATATTTCCCTTTGGTTCTGCTCTGTGCTCCAAAGCCCTGGGGATTAACACAGCACTTCCTCCAGGTCAGAGGGACATCACCCAGGCCACATCCACCACTGAGCCTGGAGCAGTGTCCTGGCACCAGGGTTTGAGGTCAAGGAGGTGGGGAAAGTGTCCAGCAGGACACAGAGGAGGGACTTTGTTGGATGGGACTGAAGAACCTGAGCTGGGGCAGGAGGTTCCCAGGAGGTTCTCTAACCCTGCCAGAGCTCCAGGGGTGTTTGGACAAGGCTCTCAGGCACAGGGTGGGATTGTTGGGGTGTCTGTGCAGGGCCAGGGGTTGGACTGAAAATCCTTGCAGGTCCTTCTGGATCAGGATGTTTTGGGGTTCTCTGTAATTTCCTGGGTAATTAGTCCTTCGTGCTGCTGCACATCCCCCTTGGAGGAGGGCTCCCCTCCCTCACATGGATGTCTGTCTGAGGTTTCAAAGGCACAAATGAAGCTGCCTGTCCTCTCTACAGCCAGTGCAGAGACACCAGGACCTCCAAGGACCTGTCCCTCCCCGAGGCTCTGGGAGATGCTCTGCAGGCACCAGCCCCTCGCTGCTGATTTCAACAGGAGACAACATCTCTTGGAGCCATCTGAGCTTCCAAGGTGTCTTTCCCAGGCAGGGAATTGCACACCAGCCCACCCCTGGCTGCCCCAGGGCCGTGGCCTGGGCAGTCCCTGCCACGGGGATCCCATTCCCGGCGGGAGCACAGCGGGACCCTCCCGGAGCTGCACCAGCTCCCAGGGCTGGGAGGCAGATTGAGCTGTTTGTTTTGCCTTGTCTGGCTCTTTATGCATCCCCAAGTCCCCAGTGACTGCCAGCAACTTCCAACGAGGAAGGAATCCTTGTTTCCATATATCTGTTAAATCCGATGTCAGCAGGTGACAACACACGCTTGGCTGGTGCTGTTCTGTGATTGAGCAGAGCTGAGGAGGGATCAGAGCCTGGCACCACAGTCAGAGTTAGGAACTTTGGCACTATTTGATATAGTTTTGGCACTATTTGCTACAGACCCACTTCACTGCAGCCCCCAGTGTGCAGAGACAGCCTGTCCATACCCAGGCTTCACTTTGCACTGTTTAAATCCCTGGTGGATAAACTCTTCCCTGCTGCAGGACAGCAGCATTCAGGCAGGCCTTGCCTAGCAAAACTGGGTTGGTTGGGCACAGTTACCTCTCTAGCAGTGTAAAGCTGACCCTGGGAAGGCAGGAATGAACAGCTGCTGGAGGTTTTCACCAGCACCTTTACCAAAGGCTCATTTTTCCCTCTCACCCAACCCAGTTCTGAGGTTGGCAAAAGCCATCCCACCCTTGTTGGTGGCACTGTTCAGCTGAGCTCAGTGTAACACAACCTGCTCCTTTCTCTCCTTTCTAATTTAAAAATTATGTTCACAGAACCATTATAGAGAATCCAAACTATTAACTGAGAGCTCTCCCCGAGCTGGCACAGGAGGTGGGAATGTGCTGCACGAGCCCCTCCCAGCAGCTGCAGACCTGTTTGCAGGGTCTCATCCAAAGCAGCAGTGCTGTCAATCACAGCCCCTGTTTTGGGCAGAGGAGACAGATTTTTTCCTATCAAAGTGACAGGTACAAAACCCATCCCCGACCTTTGCTCCCCTGAGCTCTGCCTAATGCTCTGGAAGATCCCCACAGCCAATGGTGGTCTCCAGGTGAGTATTGAATATTGAAATCTTGCATTTTATAGCTGAAATAAAAAAAAGAATATGTTCATTCGGGGGGGGGGGGAGTGCTGACACCATCCTCCAGCAATCCTTGCTTTCAGCTGACGCTGCTCATCATGATTAAATATGAAATTTTTAATACCAAGTTACCATGACCATGAACTTCATTTTTATTGCAGAGTATTCACAAGTGTCCTTTTGTTCATTCCACATCACACAAGCTGCTGGACTCCTGACTGGCTGCCTGGTGGTGAGTGAACTGCCCTGAAATTCCCTTTAAAAAAAAGCAGAAGCAACCTTTTTTTTTTTTTTTTTTTTGCATTTATCATTCTAGCACTGTGGGTTTGTGCAGTATCAATTAGCTGTGTTGATTTTTCAACTCTTTAAACCACCACACAACCACAGTGGTGAGGGGCTTAACCCAGCTCTCACCTTCCCTCATCCTCTGTGGTGCTCATTTATCTCCAGGCAGGTTATTTGCAGAACAGGAGCTGGCACTTTGTCTTGCTGAGCTCAAATGCAGTTGCCGGGTTGGCTCTGAATCTCTCAAAAACTTCTCCATGCTCTGGCCACACTTTCTACTCTTTCACCACAGATGAAAACATGGGTTGTGCCTCCCTTGGTGACATCAGAAATTGGTGTGAAATTGTGGTGAAAACTAGTGGCAAATGTTTGCCCAAATGCACAGTGTCTTCCCCAGGCTGAAGGTGTACAAAGCCTTGTCTGTCTCCAACAGCCCTTCCCAAGCTCCTGGTGATGCAGCTCAAACAGAGGAACATTAATCATCAGCCATTTCTCCCCGAAGCTCCTCTTTGCAGGTCGTGGGAAATGTCCCCCTGTGGCACACAGTTAATTAATTTGTGCCTGTATGCAGGAGAATAATTGAGTCTCTTTTTTTTCCCCCCATGTTGTTCAGTGAGTCTCTTCACTGCTCACTCTGCAGGGCTGAGCAATAAGCCCACCTTCACCTCTGCTGGGGGTGAGGGGGATCTGTGATGTCTCTGGACTGCTCACTTGTGTGGAAGTGTCCAAGGCCAGGTTGGACAGGGCTTGGAGCAACCTGGGCTGGTGGAAGGTGTCCCTGCCCATGGCAGGGGGTGGAATGAGATGGGCTTAAGGTTCCTTCCAACCCAAACCAGTCTGGGATGCTGTGATGATTTTACAGCTCCCACCCCATCTCACACGTGGATCCATGAGCTCCAGGTCCACTGTGTGTGGTGGGTGCTGGCCATGCCCTCCCCCTGAGCATCACCCACCCCTGGCAGTGCTGCCTGTACTGCCTTGATCTCTGTGGGGAAATCACAGAATCCCAGAAAATGCTGAGCTGGAAGGGACCCACAAGGATCATCAAGTCCAACTCCTGGCCCTGCACAGGCCCATCCCCAGGAGTCACCCCCTGTGCCCCAGAGTATTGTCCAAATGCTCCTCGAGCCCTGTCAGCCTCGGTGCTGGGCCCACTTCTTTCATTCAGGGTCTGGAGGGATCAGTCCCAGCGCTGTGTCCCAGCTCCCCAGCCCAGGTCCCCATCCCTTCAAGGACCCATTTCCCATTCCCAACATCACAGAGCTCAGCCTTGGTCAGCCTCTGGCTCCTCATTCCCCTCCTGTTTGTGCTGTGTGTGACAGAGCTCTCCCAGAGCCCATCCCAGGGCCGTGCAGCTCTGGCAGGGCTGGTGCTGCCCTGTCCTTGTCCCCTCCCTCAGAGCCCATCCCAGGGCCGTGCAGCTCTGGCAGGGCTGGTGCTGCCCTGTCCTTGTCCCCTCCCTCTGCTCGGGGCCACAGAGCACCGTGAAAATCACCCCCCACCCACTGAGGACACCCGTGAAAATCACCCCCCACCCACTGAGGACACCCGGCAACCCCCTGAGGCCTCCCTCGGGCTGGCAGGGAGCACAGCCCTGTTTACCCTCAGCCAGCCGCTCTCCCGAAGCTGCCCTTCAGCTCCAAGGAGATGTTCATTTGACTCCCCCCCTCAGGGAGTTTTCCTGGCTCACTTTGCTCCTGGAACCACAGCCAAGCTCCACAGGGTCGTGTTCCTGCCCACGGTGATTTGTGCTCCACAGCACGACCCTTTGAGCAGCAGAGCCCTCGTTCCAGTGCCACACAGGTGCAGAGCTTTCCCTCGGGCCTGCGGGGAGGGACCTTTGGCTTCGACCCTTCCCGTGTCCCTCGGGAGTTTCCACAAAGGAGCAAAGCACCTCAGAGACCTTTTTATGTGCAAATATGCCAAAAGCAAGTGACTGCTTTGCTCTGCCCTGAGACGAGTTTGCATTGCAAGAGGAGCAATCCTGAGTGGGCCGGGGAGGTCCCAGAGCAGGGGAGGCTGCACAGGCTGTGCCAGGGCTGTGCCTCCCAACCCCGGGCATGTCCGTGGCTGTCACTGCAATCCAGCCCCAGCCCTGCTCTGGGAGCAGACAGGCCCCGGGTGCATCCAGCCCGTCGAGCTGTCACCGTGGCAGAGTGACAGACACGTTACAAGCTGCCAGACAGACAGGGCTCAGCACCGTCTCCTGATCCGGGGGCTCAGGGCAGAGCAGGCGGGAGGATGAGCTCAGCTCAGACTGGAGCTGAAACCAGGCCAGGAATTACACCTGCAGCCCATCTGCACCCCCCCCTGTGCCCAGGGCTGCAGCTGCAGAGAGGACACCCCCACGGACCTGTCCACAGAAGTGCTGTCCCAGCACAGCACGTGCCTGAAAGGCCTTTTCTCAACCAGGCCATCCATCACTTCCAAGCTGCAGGTCAGAAAGGTGGCTGTAGCTGCTCTCCCTCTCCCTGTGCCTCCCCAGGTGAGCGGGGCTGCCCCAAACAGGTCAAGGAAGCTCAGCTGGGCAATGCTGTGCTTTGCACCTGCACAGGTATTTCAAGAGCAGCACCAGAAAATAAGGGTGTGAAAGGAAAGCTCTGCAGAGCAAACCTCCTGCTTTGAACCTCCTCTGTTCACCCTCTGGAAAGGAAAACAGAACATGAAAACACTTCAAAGAAAACCCTCCACCAGCCAAAGCTGAGCTGGTGAAGAGCTGGAGTGGGAAGTCAGGCATCCCCACATGTGAGAGCTCCTGTGTCCTGCATCCCACTGTGAGAATCACACACTCTGCTGGATAAAAAGCACAGGGCAGCTCTGCACGGTCACCTCTACCCCATGTGGGATGTGCTCAGCTTTCCAGCTCCAGCCCTACTCCCTGAACCATATCAGAGTGCAGCTGTACCACGGGGTGAGCAGAACATCCATTAGAACACATTCCTCTGGAGGAATGGCTCTGATATTAAGGGTCTATCAATAATGATTCACTAGGCCATGAGAGCAATGAAATTGCAGTGATAAAGGGTGACAAAATATTGTAAGATATGTGCATTGAGGTTGTGGAGCAAATGATCTGATCTGAGGAGCAACATGTGATGATGTGCATGGAACCATCTGCTGCCCAGGGTTAAGGTTAGGGGGAGACACAGGGAATACACCGTGCTGCTGAAACAAGGAATGGAGCTGAGGGCTGAGCCCTGGGGATGGGGATTGAGCACAGCACAGTGCTTCACTCCTGGGGGAGGAGCCCTTGCTCTGCCCATGTCCCCAGACTTCCCTCCAGTCCATGCAATTAATCACTAATAACTGGTGATGAAGAGCAATAACCCTCCCCTCCGAATGCCCTGATGTGAAGTCACTTCCCATCCAAAGCACCTCTCCAGGGATTTCCCTGAGTGTCAGCAGTTGGACTTTGGGTTCTCCCTGTCACACAGAGCAGGCTCCAGGCACAGTCTGTGGCAGCAGGACGGGACAGGCAACCCCCCCCTCCTGACAGCTCTGCCTGTGCCAGGGCCCACAGAGCTGGGCTGGCTGCTCAGGACTTGCCCAGCTGAGTATGGTGGGGCTGGGGGCAGCAGGAGGAGCCAGCTCAGGTCTCCATATCCTTTCTACAAACTCTGTCTCACCTTTCTCCAGGCTGGGACAACCCACAAGACAGGAGGAGCCCTGGGCTGGCTCTGGCAGCAGCACAACAGCAATGCAGATGTGCCGGGGGGTCTCTGGCTGGGAATCCCTCATCCCCCAAGCACACTCCATCCCAGCAAACCCCCATTCCCAGCCTCCCAGCCTCCTGCTGCCCATGCCCTGTGCAGCCTGGTACCTGTTTTCACTGCCTGCTGCCACCCAGCCCCTGAGCCTCTCCCTCGGTGCTCGCTTGGGATTGATGGGGCTTGGGATTGCGAGCAGTAAAAACACCGTGAGGAAACTGCAGAGCAGAAAAGCTGCCCCATAAAGAGCAAAAGCTTCTTCCTTTCCTCTCTGAAACCCGTAAAACGTCTAGTAAATCCCAGCACATGCTCCCAGTGCTGCATGGAGCCTAATCCAAAAAGCCCAGGAATATCCCATGATTAGGTGTGTGCTGTGAGTAATGGTTTTAGTGAGGCCCAGTGGAAGCTCAGCTCAAACTTACTCGTGGTTTATGTGCTTTGACTGGAGGGATCTCCTGTACTGGAGATAAAGCCACCTGTCCACAAGTCACTGCTCTGCCTATTCCCTGGCATTCAGGGAATGTGCTGATGTCACCACCAGGCTCCAAGGGGGAGCTGGGGCAGGGGAGAATCCAAGGAGGAGCTGGGGCAGGAGAGTGCTCCAGGAGCCACAGGAGCCACGCTGCTTTCTCCTTCCCCTGACAGACTCCATAATCGACTGGCAGGGACAGTGAAAGTGCTCTGGCCAGGCAGTGCATGGAGCAGCTGGTGCCCTGCCAGGACCTGTGCCGAGGGAAGGAGGCAGCCCCAGGAGCATCCCTGAACTGCTCTGGGATGCAATGGGAGGCCTGGGGGTCTGTGTGGGGTTGATGATGTTCACTTCACCCTCTGCCTCTCCTGCCCACAGGAAAGTTGTGCTGTGGAGCTTTGCTGAAATTCCTGCCTTGCTGATCCTGGCTTACCTGACGGGTCCTGCCTCAGCACTGCCAAGCCAGCAGGGCTTTGTGGAGCTGGGAGGGAGGGTAGGAGCTGCCAGGGGTGCTGCCAGCCCACACACAGCTCTGGAAAGTGCTGGCTGCTCAGGCTGTGGAGAAAGAGATGACCCTTGCTGAAGGTGGCCATGGAAAGCAACCTCTGAACTGAGGGCCATGTCCCCTGACCCTGATCCCCCTTACATAAAGCACCTCTGAGGTCACTGCTGTCCCCAGCTCCTCCTGGTGGCTCCTGGAGGACCCCAATGACATGATTATCCCTCCTTAGCAGAGCATTTTCAAAGCCCAAGGAGGGCTTTGCTCACTAATCTGGCATTCAGAGCAGATAATAGGCTTTGAGATGAAGACCTCCTGAGTCTATTTTAAGGTGGGTTTGTAGCCTGTCATCTGTCACAGCAAGAGCCATCCTGTCACAGCATTCCTGGGACACTCTGCCACCTCCCAGTCACTCTTGCCCTTGTTCCCTGCCACAGCACCTCCTCCTCGTGCCCATGTGCCATCCCCATGCCCTGCACCTTGCTGGCCTTCTGTCCTGCCCTTCCCACGAGCTGTAAGTGTCTCCTTCCTCTGGGTCTCCTCAGGAAGGGGCTGGAGGTGCAGAGGGCATGTCCCAGCCCCAGAGCAGGGCTGCAGTGAGGGGTTTGCCCAGTGCCTTTGTCTTCACAGGATCACCCTGGCAGGGGTGCCCTTGGGCCAAGGGGCTCCATGCTGCTGGTCAGGACTTCCTTAGGTTAGGAAACTATTTAGAGCAATAGCTGAGGCCATTTTGGGGGAGGGTCCCTTCAGAGGCAGCTGGGGACACCCCCCAGGGTGCACCCACACAGTGATGCAGGGGAAAGGGAGCCCAACCTCACTGGCATCCAGAAACACTTGGGATGTGGGGACTCTCTTGTTTCCTGTGACACTCTCCAGCCTTTTTCTGCTCCTGTCCCCCTCTTTCAAAACTCCATACACCCCACCCTGCTTTTCAGGCTCACATCATATCTCATAGAATCATGGAATATGCTGAGTTGGAAGGAACCCACAAGAATCATCCAGTCCAGCTCCTGGCCCTGCACAGACACCCCAACAATCCCACCCTGGCCCTCAGAGCATTGTCCAAACCCTCCTGGAGCTCTGGCAGCCTTGGGGCTGTGCCCACTGCCCTGGGGAGCCTGGGCAGTGCCCAACCAGCCTCTGGGGGAAGAACATTTCCCTGAGATCCAACCTGAGCCTGCCCTGACACAGCTCCAGCTGTTTCCCTGGATTCTGTCACTTATCACGAGATGAAGAGATCCCAACACCCAGCTGGAGAAAGGCCAAGGCCAGAGGACATGTCCCCCTGGGTGCTGTGTCACCCCCCAGCTCCCACAGCTCTCAGTTCCACTGCTGCCTAATCAGAACTTCCCTGCCTGCCCAAGTGGATCCAACACATTCCAGCAGTGTGGGGGAGCCCGGGGCCAGCTCAGCACCAGGAAAAGGGTGGCTAATCCACTCTTTCTGCTCAGCTGGGAGCCAGGTGGGAATTCATAAGATGGGCACCTCATGCCAGGCTCCCAATCAGGGACACTGCCCCCCATTTCCAGCCCTGACGTGACAGCTCCTGGAACCCCAGAAGTGCCAGGCCATGGGGTGCCAGCAAAAGGGAGCAGGGCAGGGCTGGGGGGAATTCCAGCCCTGCTGAGGGCACTGGCAGCTACCCACCGGGATCTTGGCTCTCTGGTGATACCAGGAGGGCACTGGCAGGGAAGTGCCACAGGCTTTGCCTCTCCGTGGGGGATGTGTTATCCTGGGCTGTGTTATCCTGGGCTCTGTTATCCTGGGATGTGTTATCCTGGGCTCTGTTATCCTGGGCTCTGTTATCCTGGGATGTGTTATCCTGGGCTCTGTTATCCTGGGCTCTGTTATCCTGGGCATGGCCGATCCTGCAGAGAGGTGATGGCAGGGACTGGGATGCAGAGGGCTGCAGGGATTGGGATGCAGAGGGCTGCAGGGATTGGGATGCAGAGGGCTGCAGGGATTGGGATGCAGAGGGCTGCAGGGATTGGGATGCAGAGGGATGCAGGGATTGGGATGCAGAGGGATGCAGGGATTGGGATGCAGAGGGATGCAGGGATTGGGATGCAGAGGGATGCAGGGACTGGGATGCAGAGGGATGCAGGGACTGGGATGCAGAGGGATGCAGGGACTGGGAT